AGTAACGGTAGTTCAAACTAGGAAGCCTAGTTCGAACTACCTAGTTCGTGCCGCGTGTAGCCGCGCGGCAGGGGGTTCGAACCAGCCGGGATTTAAAAATGGCGGCGCCCGGCTTATGCAAATGAAGCCCAGGAAATTCAAATCCCGGGTTTCATTTGCAAGTGCGATATGCCTACATTACCCCGCTAGTTCGAACTAGCGGGGTAGTGTAGACATACCCTTTGAGACTAACGACAAATGTAGATGGGATCACGAGCTTTCAGGGACACAACCCACTTTTTCAGATAAGAACTTAAGAACATAAGAATGGTCATATTGGGTCAGAACAAAGGTCCATCTAACCCAGTAGCCTGTCTGCCAACAGTGGCCAGAACCAGGTGCCCCAGAGAGGGTGGACCAAAGGCAATGATCAAGCGATTTGTCTCCTGCCATCCTTCTCCAACCTCTGACAAACAGAGGCCAGGGACACCATTTCTATCCCCTCCTCCATGAATTTATCTAGCTTCTCTTTAAACTCTGTTATAGTTCTAGCCTTCACAGCCTCCTCTGGATGACTGGAGTTTATTCATTGGAAGAAGTGGGTTGTGTCCCTGAAAGCTCATGGTATCATCTACGTGTTTTGTTAATCTCCAAGATGACGCAGGACCATTAATTGTTTCTTTAGTTTTTTCATTTGCAGAGTAACACGGCGCCCCCTCTGAAAGCATAGAAGGAATGTGGATATAGAAGATTAGCACATATAGGACGCTGGCTCATGTATCAGCTTCAGCAAGTACACCCAAAGTACCACTTTCTCTGAAATCCCACACGTGACATCTGTACAACCAATCTGCCTTCAAATTCCTCCCTCGGTGACATACATGCAAACTAGATTGTTTCACAGACTACCCCTACGATCCATTGTCTGGTTTTTGCCCTCAGTGACACATATGCAACTCCAGGTTATGATTTTCTAAGTGGCCAAAGGGGCTTGGGAGCCCATTTTGCACTAATATTATCAATAATTGATCAACCAAATCCATCAGGTGACTGAAAAATCTCCATCTATATTTTTACAGATGAGGATGCAAAGATATTACCTCTGTCTATAGATATGGTACCCCACGCTACGGGGAAGCCTTGAAATTAGGCTCAGTTAATGTGGACACACTAGGTTGACTTAGAGCCCCAGGAAGCACTGGGGAGTAATTACTTTGAATGACTCTGGGGAGTCGCTATTTCAAAATAGCAGCAATGGAGCGTCCACACGGCCGCTATTTTGTAATAACTATTTGGAAATGAGCGTTATTCCTCGAGGAAAGCAGGAGTTCAGTAAGTGTCCCATTGTTTTTTAATAACAGACTTGGCAGTGTGGACACGCCACTTATTAATTCGACCTAAGGGGGATTATTTTAAAAAAAAAAGCCCTAGTGTAGCCCAGGGCTTAGAGGGGTAGCTGCGTTACTCTGTAACTTTAAGAACAAAGAGCAGTCTTGTGGCACCTTAGAGACCAACAAATATATCATGAGCTTTCCTGTGTAAAACCCGCTTCATCAGTAAATCTTCAAGTAGTGACATATTTCCAGAGTATGAACCCCAAACAGGAAGATCAATTATTTAACGCAAAGAAAGAAGGGACAGGTAGAACTGATGGGCTGGAATTAAGACAGGGAAATGCAGCTAGAATATCATAAATATTTCTTGCTATTGAAGTCATTGAGTATCTAAAACAGACTTAGCGCATCACTCACACATTCAAATCCACAGTAGAAAAAAATGGTAAATATTCAATATAACCCAATATCTACACCACATGTTGCCTGCTTTTCATAGGGAAACATGCAGATGTAGTGTGTATCAGAGGATTGCTGGAGAGCAAATACATAATAGAAAAAAAGAGTGAATTGGGTTTTTTTTCTTCCTAGTTAAAGTTGCTCTTAAAAAGAGCTCATTAAATTTGAATGGTTCAATACTCGTCATACTAATTTAAGACTGGAAACATACATAAGCATAGACATGCATACATTGATTTAATTGCTCATTTTCTGGGGACGTAAGGCTTCACTGTCTTTAAATAGTAATGCCGTAATTTGTGCATTTTGTTTAAGGGATACATTAGTTACTTCAGAAAATTGACCCTAATTTAACCCACTCAAAACTTAACGGCCAGGAAACGATGAGTTAAGAGAAATCCTCCTGAAGAAAAATCAAATCATTCACTGTAATTTGCACACCATGTCCTGTCTCAATACACAGACAGACAGAAGATCAAACATACAATAAAATTATTTTAAAGGAATTCATTTCTTTTAGCTGTTAAATTCCAGTGAAAGTATGAAGGGTTTCCTGTTATATCTTGTTAATTTTCCTCACTGAAATTAAATCAATTTCCATCACATTAATAACCAAAACGGAAGGACACTCACGGTACTGCCGTGTCTGGATTTCTCCCAGCGTTTGGTTCTTTCCTCCTCCCGTCACAAGGCCAGTAAAGGGAATTTGTCCTTACAACGAGTCTCTCTCGCTCGTTCTCTTTCTGTCACCGTGACAGTGCCCACATCTCTAAGCCCCTCTCACCGTTCGCATTGAGAGGCAGCTGACATCAATGGGCACCCGTTTCTCTCTGCAGCTGAGCTGGGAACGGCCGACTTTTGCCTCTGCTCTCAGTAAAAGGTTTCTAGTGCAGGGAAAGGAGATTTATCCAGGTCTCTTCGCCCAGGGACCACAGGGACATGCTCTCCGGAGCGCTGCACAGAGCAGGGCCCTGAGGAGAGGCCCCAGGGCAAAATCTAACTTCTCCGTCCCATGTGTCCTGCAGAAAGTGTCATGAAGAGAAAGTGAGAGCGAAGACAGAGAACAAGGCCTAGAGGTCCGCACTCCGGGCGTGGATTTGCTCTCTGTCCTAGGTATCATCCCTGGTTCCAACGTAGGGAGAGCGGGGGCAGAATATAGGGCTGGTGAGATGCAATACGCCAGGCCAGATGAACAGAGGATCCGGTCAGGTCTTAATGTCTGTGAAACACACGTGTCCTATGGCCAGAGCTCAGCCCTTCTCACGTCTTAGGCCTCACAGTCACTGGCCACAGCCCCATACGCTGGGGGATCTGTACCAGGATCCAGGTGGCCACTCATGCCTGGGTTCCCATCTGCTGCCCCGTATGCCACAGGGCTCTGCTGCCAGCCCCACACCTGGGTCTTTGCTCCTGGCTTCAGCTGGGGCATGAGGGGGGTGGACAGGGCTATGGGGGCTGGATTTCAGCACCCCCGCTCTTAAAAACATCCCCGCGCCACTGCACGCAGTAGGGCACAAGGCCTGCTTAGCCTCAGAAGGCCTCAGGCTCTGGTTAGGCCTTGGAATCATGGCAGGTCTCAGTCAGGGCTCGGAGCATCTTCAGGGCCTGCTCGTTAATGCCGGATAACGGAGGCAGATCTGTGCTCGGCCTTAGAACAGCTGTCGCCGGGGACAGGCGGCAGAATGGCTGTTCGGCCTTGTGAAAAGGCTGCAGAAAAACCCAACATGACTCCGACTTCTCGTGTCTTGCTCACAACACTCCTGTTAATGCAGCACATTCTTCCGCTCTACTCTGTGCTGGTTAGGCCTCAATTGGAGGATTGTGTCCAGTTCTGGGCACCGCATTTCAGGAAAGATGTGGAGAAATTGGAGAGGGTCCAGCAGCAAAAATGATTAAAAGTCTAAAAAACACGAGCCATGAGGGGAGACAGCGCTGGTTTAGTTTGGAGAAGAGCAGACTGAGAGGGGACATGACGGCAGCTTCCAAGTATCCAAAAGGGTGTCTGAGGGTACGTCTACACTACAGCGCTAATTCGAACTAACGCTTAGTGTAGCGCCTATGAAAGTTAGTTCGAACTAACTTTGTAGTGTAGACATACCCACAAGGAATAGGCCATCGTTATACTGTGGTTAGACCCCGAAACAGCTGCAGGATTGGGGCAGCCCCTGGAGTAAGTCTAGGGCTTTGGAGTGGCTGCCAGTGTTGGATAAACCTTGTAGTTGCTGCTTGAACCTGGGAAGGCTCTTCCAGACAAGCAAACAAGTACTCCCGCCCCACCAGCACACACCTGCTGTTGACTATCAGGAACAATGCAACCCCTTCGGTAAGTTTTTTACAGCTGTTTCCAATGTCCCATTCCTGTGCTGCTGCCGGCCTGGGGAGGAGCGGGGGC